TGTGCCCCGCCCCCCATACCTCACCCGGGGGAACTGTGTTCCCCCGCGTTTCCCCCCCAAAATGACCTCTGTTTGTATCTAAGCGTGAGAGGTAGAGAACCTTTGAAAGGCTCTTGCCTCTTGCTGGTTCAATACGCTTTCAGTGAAAAAGGAAGCCACTTTGAATACCCTGCACGCTTCTTCTCTTTATTTTATTCATTGATTTGATTTGTACCCCGCCCTCCCTTGCCAGAGCAGGAGATAAAAACAACATAAAGACAGCAATATAAATATCAGAATAAAAATACAACATAAAAGCACAACATAATGACTGTTCTGTTCACCATACCCCCCCCTTTTTTAACAGGTTGAACCCGTTTACCTCCTACAAGCTACGCCTGAAAGCAACCAACGATATCGGAGACAGCGACTTCGGGGCAGAGACGGAGGCTGCGACAACTCTGCAAGATGGTAAGAGCTGCAGAAGGCAACTTGCTTTAGCCGGGGACCGAGCGTTGTCCTGTCTGAAGGATTCTGGGAACGCTGGGATTATCTCGTGAATTCCATCCTAGTGGTTTGCGGAGACACACGTAAGCAAACCCGGTGGCTCTGGGTGACGTTGGCATTGGTGCCCGAGTGTGGCTCCCTTAACAGTCAAGAACGCCTACCATGCCTTCCAATAATTAACTTAGCTTTCCAGAGCCTCCAAATGGAATGAAACGCTGTCTGATTGTCTTCCTGGTTCTGTGCTAACTAAACCATTATCTTTCCTGGAATTGAATAATTTATCAGGGAGCATTAAAAATGAATGTGGAATTGAGCGTATGTTTGGAGATCCTTCTTCAATTCTTATCACTCCAAATCCACTTCGACGCTGCAGCCGTGCTAAATGGATGAATGAGAGAAAGGGCGGGGGGAATAGGAATGTTCAGGAGCCACGGACACTTTAGCCTGATGGCTCATATTGCAAAAAGGCAATTTACAGTTAAGTGTAAATTCAGGGCTCTTTTTGTAGAAAAAGCCCAGCAGGAACTCATTAGCATAATAGGCCACACCCAACAGCAGAAACTCATTAGCATATTAGGCCACACCCATGACAGCACAGCTCATTAGCACATTAGGCCGCACCCCCATGTTACCAGAAGTGTGGTCATCCAGCCACACCCACCTTTTGCTTGTTATTCTGTTTACCTTGTTTGTTGTCAAAACCCAGGGCTTTTTTTGTAGGAGGAACTCCTTTGCATGTTAGGCCACACACCCCTAATGTAGCCAATCCTAATGAGTGTCTGCTGTTGGGTGTGGCCTATTATGCTAATGAGTTCCTTGCTGGTTGTGGCCAACTCGGGAGCCAGCCGGAACTCCGTTCCTGTGCGTTCCTGCCCAAAAATAGCCCTGGGACTCATTTGCCAGAGTAGAAACTGTTCCTGTTTTTCTCAGTACCAACCACCATGCCTGTGTGACTTGTAAGGATTTTTCGCAGCCTTTACCTTTTAGGTCTTTGTTTGAAACCCTACAGTGTCTCTAGTGTGCACTCCATATCTCTTCCTAATGGTTAGCAGGTCTCATAGCCCACACAAAAAGCAAGCGAGCGAGCGATTCAGAAACGTTTTGGGGTATGGTGTGTGTTGTGTTGCCAACCAAACACAGGACGCGCTACATGCAAATCTGCCGAAAAACACTGTTGACGTTAATGTCACCCCAGGAAAAAGTGTTAGCAAATTAAACCCTCAGCCGAGTGTGTCGTAAAGAACCCCAACGTCTCATTTTTCTTCCCCCCTGCAATAAAACGTCGCATTGTTATGGGAAGGTTTAGTGCAGTAGCATTGGAAAGGATCTCTGCTGAAGTAGATCCATTAGGCCGGGGTCCAGAACTGTGCTGCTAGAAGCGTGATACACCCAAGGGGGGTATTTATCGGCTATCACCATCTGGCAAACTTGATCTGGTAGGAGTGTTGAAAGCTGTTTGTTGCGTTGCATGGGAAAGGGTAGAGAGCTGTCTTTTCTTTGGGGGGGGGAAATCCCTCTGGATGCACACGAGTCCTTGGGAGCACCGACAGTCGCTGTGTGAATCCCCAACGTTATCTTCAAGGTGCCAGCGATCGACTCGTCTCCCTTTTTCGCAGAGACAGTAGCAGCAGGCGAAAACCCGCCGATGTTCTGCAACTTGTTTCCATTAATTCTTAATTATCCCCCCCGCCCGTCCCCAGGTTGACACACTTTGGGCTGAATTTTAGGGGGCGAGAAAACCAGAACCCCCCCTCTGGCCTTCGTACAACAGGAGTGATTAACTGGAAACGTTTTCTCACCTTCTCGGCAAACTCCCAGGGATTTATTTTGCTGAGCAAACCTGGTGCCACCAGTCGAGCGTTTTAGTGTGGCGAGCTGGGAGCCCCTGATAAGCGACTCTGGCTTTGTCCCTGATGCATTCTGTGAGTTTGCTGCACAGGTAGGATAGAGGCTGAATGCAGGCTTAGGCAGCAGGCCTCTTCCGGAGACCGAGGCTCTCACCCGCTCCTTTCACCACTAGGCAGCAGAGGTGCGCCCTGAAAATGGTATGGGGAGAGCAAGGGATTTTAACAGAAAGAATGTATTTTCTGCTTGTTTCCTCACTCTATATACTTTGGGGGGGGGGGTTGTCTCTTCCAGTTCCAGGTGAAGCTCCAAACTCTGTATCGGTGACCCCTCACACGACATCCTCCGTCCTCGTGCAGTGGCAGGTGAGTGAGGATCGAAAAGATCAAATGATCCCACCAGACGTTGCTCTGTTGATCATACAAAAGGCAGAGAACTGGATTCTGGGTATTCCTTACAGGCCTGGCCGATCCCGAGGCGTCATAAAAGGGGGCAGGCAAAATGGAGCTATCCGTTTGCTCTATGCATTCTGTTTTTCCGCTGCATCTGGTTGTTCGTTCAACATCTCGCTGAGAATTCTGGTGGATTTTGTTGGCGTGCGTCAGATGTGCATTTTATTCATGTTTGATAACTGCTGCAATCTATGAAGATAGTTTCAGAGGCTGGCCATGTTGGTCTCCAGTAGAAATACTAGATTCAAGTCCAGTAGCGTCTTAGAGATCAATGAGATTTTGGGGGTATAAACTTATACCCCCAAAATTTTGTTGATCTCTAAGGTACTACTGGACTAGAATCTAGCTGTTGCAATCTGTTCTATAATGGTAATTATTTAACAGGGCTCTTTTTGTAGCAGGAACTCCTTTGCATATTAGGTGACGCACCCCTAATGCAGCCAATCCTCCAAGAGCTTACAGAGCTCTTCTTACAGGGGCTGCTGTAAGCTCTCGGAGGATTGGCTACGTTAGGGGTGTGTCGCCTAATATATGGAGCTGTGGTGGCTCAAGTGGTTAAGACGCTGAGCTGCAGGCTGTGGAAGGTCGGTAGTTCAGCAGTTCGAGACCCGAGTGTGCCGCATGACGGAGTGAGCTCCCGTCTCTAGTTCCAGCTCCTGCCAACCTAGCAGTTCGAAAGCAAGAAATTGCAAGTAGATAAATAGGTACCACTTCGGTGGGAAGGGAACAGCGTTCCGTGCGCCTCGGTGTTTAGTCATGCCTGCCACATGACCACGGAAACATCTTCGGACAGCGCTGGCTCTTCGGCTTGGAAATGGAGATGAGCACCGCAACCCTAGAGTCGGATTCAACTGGCTTTCAAGCAAGGGAACCTTTACCTTTACTGAAGGTACCACTTCAATGGGAAGGTAACAGCGTTCCGTGCGCCTCGGTGTTTAGTCATGCTGGCCACATGACCACGGAAACGTCTTCGGACAGCGCTGTCTCTTCGGCTTTGAAATGGAGATGAGCACCACAACCCTAGAATCGGATTCGACTGGCTATCGAGCAAGGGAACCCTTTACCTTTACCTTTTACACCTAATATGCAAAGGAATTCCTGCTACAAAAAGAGCCCTGCATGCATATATAAAGGTTTACCCCAACTCCCACCTTATCAAAATTGCCCTTATCAAAATCGCCCCCATAGCTGCTTTAAGTCTTTGTAAGTTTTAAAAATACAGCTTATGTGGTAGCTTGTCTCCCCCGCCCCCCAGCAGGGTGAAAAATAGTTCAGGGAACTGGTGAGGAAACACCACAATCATGTTTTCTTAGTCAGGGAAACCGTGCAGTCTCCGTTGTCACGTTGTGCTCCCCGTGGCTGCTCGTTGCAGCTAAATTACCCATCGAGAGATCCAGCTACAGATCCCCAAGAAAATTTGGCTCCAAGGAACACTGTTGCATCCAAATTTGCCCCGAGAACTACCAGGACAGTCAGTTCTCCCAGCAGGTTGGATCGGTTTACTTTTTATTCGTCTTGCAGTTTTGGCAACAGTATTCTCAGTTACAACGGGGAGGATGAACGTGAGGCACATTGAGTGTTTTTACCCAAGGAGTCATGCACCTACGGGGAGGATGAACGTGAGTGTTTTTACCCAAGGAGTCATGCACAGGTATCAATCAGCGACCCGCCTCCCACTCAGTCATACAAGGGGGGAGGGGAGATGGAAGCAGGCACGGAGGACAATGAAATGGAGCGTGACGGAATGAAGCTTGATCCCGTCGATAGATACAGGGTGGATAATGAATGTGAAATAAGTGGTAGTTTGGATAATTGGATGCTTTTTATTCCACGGAAACTTAACGGGAGAGTTGTACCCGAGCCGCCTCGGGGGAATTGGAGTCAATTACATGTCATTAGCATGCTTATGTTATTTGGGTGCTCAGCAATTTAGCCATGCTATAGTTTTCAAATTAAAAAAAAATGTAAAACATACACTTCAGCTAAATGCCATGAAAATACAGGCGGAACGGAAAGCGTTGCGGGTGGCCTCGCACAAGGCAAAGTCTTAACATTTTGCATAAAGTAATATCGCGAGTGGATACTTTGGATGCTGCTGAACTAATTGTTTTAAACCCACTTAGAAAGGGAAGGAGGCCTTCCCAAGGACACCTGCGGTATCCTCGTGCACAACTGATGTCAAAAGTTCCTTTGCTGAACGCTGATGTTTTTATTCCATTTTGTTTTCCCCTTGGAGAGCCGAGTTTCTCCAAATTGCACAATGCAAACAAACCGGCATTATTACTTCTTGAGACCTCACTGCCTACCAAACATCATGGAGTCACCCACCTATCCGATCCCTTGGGCCTTTCTCAGAGATAGACAGAAAATCTGAAATAATCCATGGCATCAAGAGACAAGTTTTGTCCCTGAAAGACAGATAAGAACAGGATAACCTGACCTTTGTGCAGGGTACCTTTTTCCAAGGAAGAAGCGTGATTACCAAGATGGAAAGAGCACCCCTGGCCATTTATCTCTTCGCTTTGTCCCAGGTATCTTAATGGCTTCTGATTCCAATATAAGATTGGGCTCTAGAGAGACAATCCCACTCTCTAATAGGAACATTATATGAATCAGGAGGCTTTCTCGAGAGAGAGGAAGGAGAGAAATTTGGAGAGAGCCGTGTAGAACTCTCATTATCAGGAGCGTGAGTATTGGGCATGGTGAATAGACAGGGTGGAGGGAGAGCCATAGACCCTTCTCCCTTCCCTTGCATGCAGTAACTTTGGAATGGAAAAGACAAGCGAAAGAGAGTATATTTTCTTCCATTTTCCTAGCCATCTAGGGAAGGGAGTCTGGTTTGATCAGTGAAATCATGTGGGGAGGAAGAAAGGTGAACCCCGCATTCTTCACCCTTAACATGACACCAAACTGGATTCCTTCCTTCCTTCCTTCCTTC